AAACTGAAATTAGTAACAATAAAGAGGAAAATTGAAATCTCATAAAAATCATAGCGGCACCAATTAAGTAACCTGTATGGTTTAATACTATATATGCTTCCTGCAGTTGTGCTCTAATTTATAAAACACTAGCTTTGAACCAGTTTTTTTCAAGCATGGTTAAAAATATTATGCATCCACTTCTCATCGCTTACCCTTATTCAAAATAAAACAAAAGTGTCCAAAAATCAATACCTAAAAAGAAGATATAAAAATCAAATTATTAACAAAAAGAGAGCAACACAGAAGTATGTTAAAAATCAAATGGAAAACAACTAAAGAACCTGTGTGCATGGCCTAGTCTCACTAAATTGAAATTCTAAGAATTTCAAAAATGGAATTGGCTGAAAAAAGAAAAGAAGAAATAGATCTTTACCTCGAGGCCGAAAGACAAACAAGGAAAGCCGAATTAGTAGGGCAAGTAATAAATAAGAAGGCAATGGTGGTCATGGAGCGGTGAAGAAGAACAAGGAAGTAGGGTGGTGATGGGTAAGAGACGTTGTTAGAAGAAAACGGTGACAAAGTATAAGATGGTTACAATGGAGAGAAAGATGGAAGCAATAGAGAAAGTCCTAAAGGTAAGGGAGTAAACATTATAGCGCCTCATAGTATTGTAAGAATAAACATCTATCTCTTAAACTTGCAACAAAATTTTTTTACAACAATTGTACAATACTTTAATTGGGGTACCTACAGTGCTCCGGTTGTGAGATTGATTGTTCATACCTCCCGTAACCCACACGGTAAACAGCACTAACTTGTCTAGTCCCCAATGCACCCGTAACTCCTTCCAATTGCTTCATTTTGGTTAAGAAAATTGACTATTACGCCAAAAAAATGCGGAGTATTCCATTGGAGGGAGTGCAAGTGTGCTTTACGGGTGGGACGGGCCGAGGAGGTTTACCAGGAGGTTACGGGGGTAGGAATAATCATATTTACGAAAAAACTACCGTAGGTTCCCCGATTGCATTGTTGTAAGAATATATATATATATATATATATATATATATATATATATATATATATATATATATATATATATATATATATATATATATATATATATATATATATATATAGAGTTTGGTTCAAATAAGAATGAAATCTAACGAAAGAAATAAGAACAAATTGTGGCCGTTTGATCTTGATCCCGAATCATTCCTTCGCCTATTTTATGTATGGGCACCGTTGTCTTTTTGCCCAGAGTCTAATCTCTCTCTTCCGGAAGATTAGCCGCGCAGGTTGAGCCTTCAATTCTCTCTCCCCCATATGGTTCCGATCGGATCTCTCTCTCCCCTCTGCGTTTTTTTATCTTCTTCCCCTAAGTGGATTCGATTTTCCCTTTGGTCTCTTTAGATGTGCTTCTTGTCATTTATCATCCTCCTACTTTTTACCTACAATTTTTGTGAGAGTTGTTCGTCATCATCCTGGGAATGCATCAGTGTTTGGATAGATTCAGGTATTATAATCTCAGCCAGTCATCCTAATTTTTCTTGTATGTATAAATCCCCTAATTTCTCAATTTGATGTTCCAATCGCTTAATTGAATGATTGGATCTTCTTGTTCGGTATTCTAATC